AGGGCGTGTCCAGGGGGTTCATCCCTCCCGCCAGGTACGGCTGCGGGCTTCTCCTCCGTCTCGCGTTTGCAGTCAGCCTAACGACTGATGCAGCTCCCTTGCGCCGGTAGAGTCTCCAAGTAGCAAAGTACCTGCGGCTTCCTTGAGACGCCTCCTGAGCCAGCTGTGCCGGCACAGCTGTGCTTTGGCGTGCAACGGTTCAGGAACTGCCAGACGAAAAGATCCTCCCGTAAAGGTTGCACCTTGTGGGAAAGCAGCACTGATAATTGTCGTATTTAACGTATTAGCTTTACGTGGGCCTCGTTGGGACTTTCGTTAAGGCATCCCTGGTTTTTTTAGGCTCTTGAAGGTACAGCGAAGCGAGGAGTGCCTGAATGCATACAAATTCATAGTATTTAGGACAGTGCTTAGTAGTTGTCATAGCTCTTTTTTGAAATGTGGTCTCCCCTTGACCTTTCTGCAAGTACCTTTGGTGCGTTCTCCTTTTCTGATTCTTGAACTAGTCTCAGATTTCAGTCAAGTAGTATAGCTGGCTCTCCTAAACCCTTGGCACTCAATTATTCTCAATATCCTTTTGAAGAATGATGTCAACAGAAAGCGCCAACAGCTTCACTCTGATTGGAGAGGCATCTGATGGCGGCACAATGGAAAACCTCAGCAGGAGACTGAAGGCAAGTTTTACGTGAGCTGGTAAATAAACATACGTCTGATTATAACGTCAGTTTTCCTCCGTGCCCTGCCAGATGAAACTGCAAAAAGCTTCTCATACCATTAGCCTTCAAGTATTTGTGTTTAGTTCAAACTCGAATATTTGTGAATAGTTAAGCACGCGCAGACTGGCTTATTTTAATCATACTTTGGCCTGCAAACAATACTTTGTCAATTGAAGAGGTACAAGCCCGTCTGTTGAAAAGTAACCCCCAGCTACCTCTACGTTCCCTTGAACTAACAGTGAACTTCTTCTCTAGGTTACCGGTGACCTCTTTGACATTATGTCTGGGCAGACAGATGTGGATCACCCTCTGTGTGAGGAATGCACAGATACTCTGCTAGACCAATTGGACACACAGCTTAATATCACAGAGAACGAATGCCAAAACTACAAGTGAGTGATTCAGAGATGATCTGAGACTGAGGTGCTTCAGTTTGAAAGCTAGAGAAAGAACACTGATTTGATGATAGATTTCATTGTTAATAAATTTAGCACTTGATTCTGTTTTTGTCTGAACGAGATGGAAAACTTATTTTTGGAGTATCCTCTGATAAACAGCTTCTCGAACTGAAGTCTGTGACCCCATCAGAGGGGTTGATGCCACCTGCCCAAGGTGTCTGTGTGGCAGCACTTACACTGTGATTTAAGTGCTTCACAGATGCAGTTATTCACAGGCAGTAACAGATCCTGCATCGCCGCCATCTTGCTCTACTGTTCTCCTGTTTCTGCATTCCTGACTCAGGACACAAGATTAAAGTAGAGAGCTTGGGATTAATGAGGGGTCCACCTTAGGTACACACAAGCTCAGATTTCTTGTTTATACTTCCGCTTACGTGCACAGCCTGTCACCGAACTGGGGACTGTTGGCAAAGAGGGTTTTCCAGGGCTTCCTCTCTGGTAATGATGTAACCGTCTCCTTTAGGAGATGTCTGGAGATACTGGAACAAATGAATGAGGATGATAAGGAGAAACTGCAAACAGAACTGAAAGAGCTTGCACTGGAGGAAGAGCAACTGATTCAGGAGCTAGAAGACATTGAGAAGAACCGCAAGATAGTGGCTGAAGACTTCGCGAGAGTCAGGGCAGAGGCAGAGAGACTGGAGCAGGAAGAAGCTCAGTGAGTCTGAACTACAACTGCCGTTTATGGCAGTAATTATAATCTCATTCATCTGCGTGTTACCTATAATGTGGAGACACCTGTAAATGATGTCCAGATGCAAGTGTCCCTTCTTTGCAAAAACTGAAGTTGGCTAGACCAGAAAACCTAATGTAGAACATGAGCAATCACTTCTCTTCCTAAGAAGAGAGCCTTCAAGCACTTCTTGTCTTGTTTTCACTTGAAGGTATCAGAAAGAATACTGTGAATTCAAGAGGCAACAACTGGAGCTAGATGATGAACTGAAAAGCGTGGACAACCAAATGCGCTATGCCCAGATGCAACTGGATAAACTGAAGAAAACCAACGTGTTCAATGCAACCTTCCACATCTGGTAATGTAGACACTCTAATATTGTTTCAGCATGCTAAGAATCTGCAAGATAGGACTGTTTAAAATAACAGCGTGTTTGACAGTCAAGTCTTAGCCCACAACGAAGCACTGATCACGTCTCCCCATGGTTCCAGCTGAGACAGGTTTTCTGTACTGTGCTCTGCATTGCAGGCAAACAGCAGATATGCCCAAGTAGACTGTTAAATGGCTCTTAGACTAACCAAGTTAACTAAAGTCTAGTGTGTTAGCCAACTAACGTCAAGCTTTATGGAGCGTGACAGCTCAGTTGTTGTTTTTAATGAACTCCTGCACAAAAACCAGAACAATTGGTTTGCAGTTATACATGCTTTTTAACCAGGGGCCCCAAGTCCTCATTTTGTTTGGTTATGAAATGAACACTAATAACTCTTAGTTTGTGGCCTCTACTTGGTTAGCATGCTAAAAGCTGTTCCTGCTCCAATGAGCTTATTTATAATTCCTCTTATCACAGGCACAGTGGTCAGTTTGGCACAATAAATAACTTCAGGCTTGGCCGGCTCCCCAGTGTTCCTGTAGAATGGAATGAGATCAATGCAGCCTGGGGGCAGACTGTGCTGCTGCTACATGCCCTTGCTAACAAAATGGGCCTGAAGTTTCAAAGGTATATGCAGTATAACATACATTTCTCTTATGAGCTAGATAAAAACCATTTAGACTCATTTGCCTCCGAATCATGTCTCCTTTCAGATACCGCCTTGTACCCTATGGTAACCATTCATACTTAGAGTCTCTCACAGACAAGTCAAAGGTAAGAAATCCTGCAATTCAAAAGCCAAAGGAAATCGACCTTGAATGCTACAGATCCCTGGCCATACTAAATGGGGCAGAAAACCAGGACTTTGCTCCTAAGAGTACATCTTCGTGAATCTATGGCAGGGAAGAACTACCTGCCTTGATTTCTCTGACATTGATTGTATCTCATTCTGTCTTTCTCTGGGGTACAGTTCAAAAGGCCTGGCCTTTCTAATACTACTGGTTGGCAGAATGAGTAGCTTGATGTGGGATATAACGTGATTTGGTAAGATTCTCCTGATTAGGAGCCCAAGTCTTATCCTGCATAATCACCAGCAATCATGTAACAGGCCCTTACCACAAAAGAAACTATTCTTACAACAAGCCACCAACCATTTTTAAGCATCTGATGACAAATGTAAGGCTTTCACAAAAAGAATAAAGATCTGCAGTGATATCCAAAATGGAATGTTTGGGGTATTTGAAACAAATCTCTTCTCCAGGAGCTCCCCTTGTACTGTTCTGGAGGCTTAAGGTTTTTCTGGGACAACAAATTTGATCATGCAATGGTGGCTTTCCTGGACTGTGTGCAGCAATTTAAAGAGGAAGTAGAAAAAGGTGAAACTCGATTCTGTTTGCCTTACAGGTGAGTGTTGCTTCATAACATGTCAAATTAACACCTCATGCAGTGCTGTCTCATGCAATGCTGCTAGCTGGTCTCTGGACCAATCTACAGCACTGCTTGCTGTTTCAGTCCTGGTGTTATGGTGTGCAGGATGAAGTTACGTTTGCTCTGAATTTATTTGAGAGTTAAAGCTAGTTCCTCACATGAAAGTCTAAGTCTTGCTAGTCTTACAAACAAAGTATTCTTACGCAAGATAGTATGTCAGGTTTAAAAGTACAGTACTTAACATCACGATGACTGCTTGCAATAGTAATGTGCTAATAAACTTTGTGTGTGATACAGGATGGACGTGGAGAAGGGAAAAATTGAAGATACAGGTGGCAGTGGTGGCTCTTACTCTATTAAAACACAATTTAACTCTGAGGAGCAATGGACAAAAGCACTAAAATTCATGTTAACTAACCTGAAGTGGGGTCTTGCCTGGGTCTCATCCCAATTCTATAACAAGTAACTGTGTAAAGAACTTGTCCAGATGGCTGTAGAGTATCTGCATTTTGTTGGAGAAAGTCAAATTAAGTTGTCTCTTAATATTAACCAGTACAATAGGTTTACAATACCAAAAATCCACAAGACACTTTATTTAAGATACCATTATTACAAGTAGTATATAGAAAAGCAATATGTAAAGTTATATCACTGAGCTGAACAGAATAAAAATTTCAGCTATTAAATAGATGAAACTGCAATTTGGGGGTGTTTATATATATATATATATATATATATAGTATTTGTATATAAGTTATTGTTATACTCTAAAACACCAGTGAGTTTGATATTACTGTGTTACAACTTAGCAGAACAGGCAAGTTAGGGAAGTGAAATGCTACCAAAGCAGGGAATAACGTGGAAGAGTTCATGGAAGCTTTGCCCGGTTATTAAAGGCCAACTACAATTCAAAATAAAATATTTTCTAAAGTAATATCTGAGCACTTAACATTGTGCCACTGAACTTTACCAGGGTTTGATACTGTACACCATTAGCTATGATGATATTAACTATTTGTAATACTTTCTGCAGTTCTTGCAAGGAGGTGCACTGAGTAACACCATAATAAAACACTATTCTTCATAAAGGGTGCTTTCGTCTAGCATATGTGAGTCACAGCATAAACGTCCTTTGGAACCGTCAGTGGACACACTGAATAGGTATCTGCCTCCACGACAGTTACATCAGGCTTTAAAAGATAGGTGGAAGTCTGTTCTTTACACAACATTGGTCAACTCGCTGGCTTTCTTAGGCTAAGAACAAAAAACCTTTTGAGCACTAGGGAAGAGGGAGCACGGTAACAAGCAACATGGCTGCAGCAAGCTGCCTGAGGCAATAACTAGTTTTTAAGATAGCAGCGAATGCAGAAAGAAAGCATGGCCTTGTTTGTAATGATTGAGGGCTCGGGAGTTTCTTCTAGCAATACTAATTACCAAGCAAATTACCATTCACATCAATGCCTTTTCAAAGCAAGACTCTCATGCAGTTTTCTGTTTCTTCAAAGGAAACTTATATTCATAACTTAGAAGATGTAGCTCTTACAATAAAGTTTCTGGTGCTGAAAGAGGTATTTCTAAGTACTACTTTGTTTCTGTGTCCCTCCCTCCACAGCATTGGTGCACAGCCTGCAAGAATGAGCTTTTCTAATTAAAATACAGCATTTGCAATGTTAGAAAACACCTGGTATTCAAAAACAAAAGTAAAACCAAATTTCTTTGGGTTTCCTGTGCGGTACCACAATAGATGGACTATTACCAGTGTTACAGAAGTCTGTTACTGATATGCTAGGGAATAGCTACAGAAGATATAATTCTACTTAAGAGGTATAATTCTGTCCTCTGGAGCTCCTGTTCCACTGTTCCTATAGTGCTGCTTTGGAGTGGTACTGCCAATGATGTGTTTCAGTACTGCATAAGAAAATTCTAAGATACTTTGTGAACTAATGCCAGTGATACAGTTTAAATGCTCCACAACCTTTAAAAAAAAAAAAAAAAAAAAAGATACTTAAAAGCAGTGCCTAAGTGACATGAATTTACAGAACTACTGCTTAATCCCCAAAATCTAACTATAATAATAGCGCTCCATGGGCATATACCAGTGGATCTTCACTAAAAGTTAAAACCTCTTTGTATGTTGTAGGAAGAGCAGTAATAGGGTTTAAAAAAAAAAAAAAAAAACATTGTTTCCACCAAAGTAGTAAAGTGAAAGAGCTACTATATGTAATAGCTGCTTATCACAGTATTCAGTAGCAGTTTGGGCAGAAAGCTAGGATTGCTTCTCCAGTTGTCAGTGAAACTATCTCTGTGTGGGTTTGTTCAAGCTGTAAAGGAGCTGAAGCGTGAGGATAATCTGACATTG